CTTAACCCCCTGCACCACAATGCCCGCCCTTCCCGAGGGGAATATTCACCAAAGTGTAGGCAGGGTTAAGAAAGCCAACAAGGGGAGTTGAAGTGTCCAGGGACTGGTGACAGCAAGCACACCACTGCCACCCCTAAGATTTTTCAACCTAAATAACAAAGACAGATATTCCGAAGAATGACTTCCTGAGGCCTAGCAGAGCACTGCAATGGGGATGTGCTTGCCAGAGTAAACCATGGGTGTACTCGAGGAGGCTGAGGCTAGGGGATGTTCAAAGGCAAAAAGGGAGACTGGCATACACTATTTAAAACAAATTTCCTTGGTCTTGGAGACTTAAGACTGGAGTTGGTGCCAGCTTCTTGGTGGAAGTGTCTTTGCTGGACAAGGGTCCTGTGGAGAGCATCTTATCTGATTGTGTGTAGTCTTAACGAATATTAAAGGTGAACTTTTACCAGCAATCTGTGCACATGTGTGAGGCATGCACAGCATGGGGTACTCGTAGAACCAGACAGAATTTCATGTGGGCCTTGAGAAAGTGCCCGTATCAGGTAGGCAGCCATGAGCAGCCTTCTCCCTTCTTAATGCCCCAGCTCTAATTCTGTCTAGCTCTGATAAGAACAGTCTCATCTTGGTGTCATCAGTAGTCACACGCTGAAGGTGGGAGGGGAGGGAACAGTGCTACCGGAGTCTAGAAAGAGCTGGAACTTTGGAGAAGGCGCCATGGGACAGGGGTCTAGCTGCAGAGGAACCCAGTGGCTATCCAGACCATGGTGAGGCCAGGAGGGAGCCTGGGTGTAAATGGCCTTGCTCCACTCTCCTTCCTTCTGGTGCCTCCCATTGGCCAAGACAGCCAGAAGCCAGAGAGCAAGAAAGCTTAAGAGATGAACCTATAGATGTCACTCCCAAGACCCAGAGAAGGGCAGAGCATGCAACCAGCAGAGGGAGGAGTGGCCAACAGAGTAAACACCCAAGGGCCTCCTTTCCCAAAGTCTGTGTGTTGGGTGACTATGTTGAGGGGAAAAAAACCTTTGCTCCCAGAATGGTGTCTGCAGTTAGAAGGGACTCTCAGCTTTACCTGCAGGAGCTTTGGTTCACATGAGCTCCATGTGGTTAGTGAATGACTAATCGCTAAACTGCCAGATAAGTTGGTTAGTGATTTTGGATGCCCACGTCCCACATCAGAGGGCCTGTGCTTAATTCCTGCTCTGGCTCCTGCCTCCAGCTGCCTGTTAATGTCTCTTGGGTCTGCTCTTTCCTTGGTTGGCTTGATTCTCAAGCGGGGTCCACCGCGCTAAAGTGGCAGAGATGGTCCCCAGTAGCTCCAGGTTTCATTGGCTTTAGTGCTTGTCATCTCAGCAAGTCAGAGTATCCTTTCCCTCACGGTACCAGACAAGCCCTGGGAAAAGCTCTCATTGATCTGTGCTGGGCCATGTGCTCCTCCGTGGACCAATAACCATTATGAACTCTGATTGCCTGAGCCAGAGTCCAGTACCCACCTTCAGCCTGAGGTTTGTCCTACTGCAATGGGGAAGAGGTGGGTTTTCAGGAAGGAAAAGGATGCTGGATGAGTTCAAGCCACAGACGGACAAAGTCAAACTTGGTTACCTCTCTTGGATTAAACTTGTCGGGACAGAATGAGAAAAGTTCAGGTCCATGGGTAGCCCTGCTCTTGGGAGTCTCAGTTAATCATAAAATGTCTCCGACTCTCTTTCCTCTTTTCTCAGCTGGATTCTGAACCTCTTCCACGAAAGAATCGAAAACACCATCAAAAGTATCTTGGAACAAGAGGTAAGCCAGAGGACAAGCAGGCTGCAGTCAGTGCACTGGTCATCAGCACCTACATATGCAGTGTTTGGAAACCATGTTCCCTCTTAAGCATGCTGTCACTTGACTTTGCTTAGCAAAACCCTCTCAGCTGTGGTGCAGAGGCAAGCTTCAGGGCTTTCCCAAGGCTGAATGGTCACATTTGCCAAGCTGGCAAAGTATTATCTGATTATCTAATTAAAAGCAATATTCTAGAAACATGAATATGGGGGAGAAATGACTTTGGATCCCTCCCTCACACCACACACAAAAGGTAACACCAGGTGATCTGAGGATTTAAACAAATCAAATTTTGAAACTTTTCAGGAGAAAAACATCTATTTTTCTCAGCTTAGGAAAATTATTTCCTTTCATAATTTTTAAAAGTTATTTAAAATTTAAAAATGATATTTATTTATTTGAAAGTCAGATTTATAGAGAGATCCTCCATCCTCTGATTTACTCTCCAAGCAGCTGCAATGGCTAGGACTTAGCCAGGAGCTTTGTCTGGGTCTCCAACATAGGTGGAAGGGCAAAAGTACTTGGACCATATTCTGCTGCTTTTCCCAGGCCATGAGCAGAGAGCTGGATCAGAAGTGGGGCAGCCGGGACTCAAACTGGCACCCATATGGGATGCTGGCATTGCAGGTGGTGGATTTACCCACTATGCCACAATGCTGGTCCCCTATTTTTTTTTACAGATTTATTTATTTATGTAAAAGGCACAGTTATATATAGATAGATAGATAGAAAGAGATCTTCCATCTGCTGATCCACTCCCCAAATGGCTTCAATGATTGGAGTTGAGCCAATCTGAAGCCAGGAGCCAGGAGCTTCTTTCTTGGTCTCCCATGTGGGTGCAGGGGCCAAAGCACCTGGGCCAAGCAGGGAGCTGGATCGGAAGCAGAGCTTTGGAGCAGGACTCGAATCAGTGCTCATAAAGGATTCCAGTGCCATAGATGGTGGCTTAACCTACTACACCACAGCGTCTGTCCCTGAGCCTCTATTTTTTTTCAAGATTAATTGGAAGTCAGAGTTGTACAGAGAAAGAGAGAGAGTTCTATCCACTGGTTTGCTGCCCAAATGGCCATGACTGGACCAGGCTGATACCAGGAACCTGGAACTCCACCTGGCTCTCCCAGGTGGGTGGCAGGGCAGGGGCCCAAGTACTTGGGCCATTTTCCACTGTTTTCTATGTGCACCATCAGCAAACTTAATTAGAAGAAGGGGAGCGGCCAGGACTTGAACTGGTGCTCATATAGGATGCTGACGTCACAGGTGGCAGCTTAACCCACTATGCCACGCTGTGTTGACCCCAGAAAATTATTTCCCAAACAAGACCTCCCTCCACCAAAAAGGCACCAGGTCCCTCAGTATCCCACTTCTGCAAAAAGCCTTGATCTTGAGAGGCGAAGAAGTGCTTCTTCTATCTTCCCTCTGAGTGCACTGGAGCAAATTCACGCCTGCTCCCCCCACCCCGCCCCAGCCCCGGGGCCTCAGGGTCCTTGTTTGCAAAATGGGGACAATGAGCTCCACCTTGAAGATGGTTGGTGGGCACTGGATTAGCACTTGGTGCTCACAGCGCTCACCACGCTCACCAGTTCACCACCATTCCTCCACTGGACTGGCCACCTTGACTTTTGGCTGCTGAGTGCCTGCGGTCAGATATTCTGGGTTTAAATCCTAGCTCTGCCACATTTCTGGCTGTGAGAACTCAGTGAGTTGATCCCAGGGGACTGTGAGATTCAGCAGGAGGAGGAGGTGACGAGGCCAGGCAATGGGCTGGTGGGGCGTCTGGATCTAATCCTGCCTCCCGGTCCTGGCACAGCTTCAGCTCTGTCCCTATGCTAACGGATGCATGCCTGTCCTGCATTTCTTTGTTCCTGTGCTCTCTAATGAATGCGTGCATGCCTGTCCTGTATTTCTTGCCACTTTAGCCTCTGACACACTGGATCAATGACCACGACAGTAACAGAACTTAGGGCAGTGCCGACTCCACCAACATCCACTTTCAATGCATGTTTCAGAAAAATCCAAGAACTTAACCTAGGCCTGCTTGTGTGAGAGGCCAGCGCGAATGGGCCCGTGGCCAAGGGCTGCATACTGATGGAGGGACGGTGGCCTCTTATTCCTCTCACCGTGCAACCCACACCACCTCCAACACGTACCCGCGTACACACACACACACACATACACACACTCCTACAGGGTGGGGAGAGAACCCGTGGACGGTGTTTGGGAGCGGTGTGAGGAGGTGGGCATCACCAAGGAGAGAAGTGGAGGAAGGACTCACGTGGCTTTCTCCCCCACTTCTGGCAGATCTGCAAAGAGGTCAGGAAGTCAGCAGCCTCCTACCTGGAACCATACCTCCGGACACTGCCAGGTTGGGAGCCCCGCCTCTGAAAGCCATCAGATGCCACAGCACAAGGCACCCCAGCACTGTCACCCCCGGGGCAGCCCTAGGAGAATTTTCCCGGAGTATCTCCCTACCTTGCAGAGTTGGCCTCCCCGGGTGGGGGGGAGGGGTCTGCCTGTTTAGGGGGCTGGAGGGGGGGGAGGGGAAGGATCAAAGGTGGTGACTGGAGCCTGCTGGGAGTGTGAGGTGGGCAGAGGTTTACAAATCAGGGAGAAGTGAGGTTGGCTGTGCACAGGTGGTGTGGACAGAGTGGGGGTGCTCCAGACCCCCTGGTTAGGCTGGGGGTACTCCCTGCCCTGCCCCTCTGGCTGCCTCATGTGTGACTTTCACAGTCATACATCAGGGCGGGTCACACCCTCATCTTGAAATCCATCAGACTTCTAAAACTCTCAGAAGGCTGAGCCTGATCTTGATGACAAGGCCTTGTAGGGCTGGCCCCGCCCCCACACCCTGATCTGCAGCCTCATCTTGTCTCCACCCCACCCCACCCCCAGCCAGCCAGTCGGTTTCTCCAATACCCCATGCTCCGCACTGCTCTCAGCCTTTGCCCAGGTGCTTCCCTCTGCCAGGAATGCTCTTCCCCACATCCACCTCCTTCACCCAATCAACACCTCCTCCCGGAAGCACTCCCTGACTCCCAGGCCGAGGTCAGGCTGCTCTCCCACCCCCCACTGCAAGGCTGGCACCAGGCTCTGGGTTTCTGCTGCCTGACGAGCTGCAGTTCCACATTGGTTTGCTCCAATGTTGGACTCTCTGCTCCCCTTCGGGACTACCTCATTTGTAGCATTTCTTCAGCCCTTTGTACCGTGCTTGGCACACAGCAGATGCTCACTCAAATACCGAATGAGCAGATACAACAATCTCTCTCAGTGGCTAAAGGCACCATGATCAGCATCAGCCCCTTTTCCACTCTCCAAAGGCCAGAGTTTATGTGAACGGAGCTCCCTGGCATTGGACTGTGCACAACCTGCACAACTGTGTTCAGCTGCACCCTTCCGAAGACCACTTCTTTCCCATTTCACAGTCACCACAGTGATTGACCAGTTTGCTGGCATTGACTACAGCTTGGTGGGAGCTCCCGAGGTGACCTCTGAGGGCCTGGACACACCCTTCAAGGTAAGGGACCGTGGGGAAAGGGCCTTGGAGCTGAGGGTTGTTTCGAAATCAGCTCTGCCTCCCAGAGCTGGTTCCTCCCCTCCCTCGCCAGTCCATTTGCCTGTGAGTCCACTGAGCACCACCCACCGTGGGCAGACATGGCACTAGCACTGCAGACCAAGAACCAGTACACGGTCTGTGAACCAACATGGAAGTCTCTCTGAAGTCCACAAGCCCTGAGCTTGAATTCTGGTTCTAAAACTTATGTGCTGGGGACACTTGACCTCTCTGAGCCGCTATTAAATTGGGGCCAGCGATGTGGAACAGCAGATTAAGTCACTGCTTGTGAGGTCCACGTCCCATACCAGGGCGCTAGTTCAAGTCCCAGCTCCTGCACTTCCGATCCAGCTTCTTGCTGATGCAGCTGGAAAGGCAACAAAGGACAGCCCAAGTGCTTGGGCACCTCCCACCCAGGTGGGAAACCCAAATGGAGCTCCTGCCTTCTGGTTTCCTCCCCGCCCAGCCTTGGCTGTTGCAGGCATTTGGGGAACGAACCAGTGGATGGAAGATCTCTCTGCCTCTCAGGTGCCTCTCTCACCGCCCGCTCTCATCTTTTTTCCTGTGTATAATCCTTGACAGGCAGAGTGGACAGTGAGAGAGAGAGAGACAGAGAGAAAGGTCTTCCTTTTGCCGTTGGTTTACACTCCAATGGCCGCCGCGGCCAGCGCGCTGCTGCCGGCGCATCGTGCTGATCTGAAGCCAGGAGCCAGGTGCTTCTCCTGGTCTCCCATTCGGGTGCAGGGCCCAAGCACTTGGGCCATCCTCCACCGCACTCCCAGGCCATAGCAGAGAGCTGGCCTGGAAGAGGGGCAACCAGGACAGAATCCGGCGCCCCGACCGGGACTAGAACCCGGTGTGCCGGCGCCGCAAGGTGGAGGATTAGCCTAGTGAGCCGCGGCGCCAGCCATTCTGTGTCTTCTTTAAATAGCTTTAAAAAAAAAAAAAAAGACATTGGAATCAAAACAACCTGACCTCTGGTTGTATAGAAATTAAGTGATATGTTGCATATAAAGAGTTTAGCAAGTACTTGGTGCATGGTACACGTCTAGGGAGGCACTCTGATTACTGCCTGCCTCACCCCTACCGGAGACCGAATAACAGCTCCTGATCCGCAGACTGTAACTATTACTATAGCTGTAACTCTGTGGCCAAAGGAACTGTGTGGCTGAGATTAAGCGAAGGCTGTTGAAATGGCGAGATTATCCTTATCTAGCCGGGCTGAGGGAAATCCCAGGGGTCTTTATGAGAGGAAAGCAGCAGAGAAGGGAAACAAGGCAATGGGACAGTGGAGCCCACAGGTCAACGTGATGCGAGGGGACACGAGTCAAGGAATGCAGGTGACCTCTAGAAGGTGGGAAGGGAACAGGTTCTCTCCGGAAGCGTCTAGAAGGAGGGCAGGTCTGTGGACACCTTGTTTAGGCTTCTGACCTGCAGAACGTCCAGGAAGTCAATGTGTGGGGATTTGTTACCATAGCCTTGGGAAAGGAGTCTCCCTCCCCCTTCATTCCCACTGTTCATTCCACAACTCCCCCGTGGCTTGAGCCAGTCCTGGGAGTACTGGCCACTCCTACCATATTGATTTTATTTAACTAACACTTACATGTTACTTAGCATGTGTAAGTTCTCAAAGTTTATACAAATGATAACTTACTGAAATCCCATACCAGCTCTGGGAAGCAGATGCTATCAGCCTCATTCCCATTCTACAGCTGAGCAAGTTGAGCCATAAGAAAGTCATTGCTTTGCTCAAAGGCCCAGAGCTAGGAAGGTCCAGATTCAAACCTGGGCAGCCAAGCACTAATGGCCACGCTTTCACCACCAGACTGCACTTTCCCTCCTGAGCCCTGGGCCAGTGAGAGCTCGGGACACGGCTCCCACCCCTGGAATAGCAATCCAGGTAGCTGTCAAGTCCTAGAGGTCAATGTCCTAGAAGGGCCCAAGGGGATCGCTCAGTACCCTTGGCCCCAGATTCTGGAGAGGGAGCAGCATCCTGGCCACTCCTCAGGCACAGGAGGCCTCACCCAGGCAGGTTTGGGCCTCCAGCCTCTCTCGAATAGGGACCATGGGGGACTGATAACTGCTCTGTCTCCAGGGTGAATTCTTCAGCCTAAGCCAGCGCTCCCCAGTCCCTTTTGATGCCCCGGCCATCAGGCTGCCCCAGCAACACGACCGCATGCTCTACTTTGCCGTGTCGGAATACGTCTTCAACACAGCCAGCCTCGTCTACCACCGGGCCAGGCCCATGCGCATCGTCATCCGGACCGAGAACGTGAGTTGGGGAGGGATGGAGCTGTAGGTGCTATAGGGAGCCCAGAGAGCAACGCGGAAGAAGCTGGAACCTGTCAAATGTAGGTTCAAGCCAAACTGTGCCCCAGTTTCCCTACCTGCATACGTAACGTGGCTGTAACGCAGCAGACCTCCCTCATCTGTGGCGTTGTCTACCTGGTTTCAGTTCTCCATGGTCAACCACAATCTAAAAATATTAGTATTTGTCTTGACTCTTTCAAGACACATTCACATGCTTATTACAGTGCATTGTTAAAATTATTCAATTTTATTATTTTTTAAAATATTTTATTTATTTATTTATTTGACAGGCAGAGTTACAGACAGTGAGAAAGACAGAGAGAAAGGTCCTCCCTCAGCTGACCCACTCACCAAATGGCCCCAATGGCCAGAGCTATGCCGATCCGAAGCCAGGAGCCAGGTGCCTCCCCCCGGTCTCCCATGTGTGTGCAGGGGCCCAAACACCTGGGCCATCTTCCACTGCTTTCCCGGGCCACAGCAGAGAGCCAGACAGGAAGAGGAGCAACTGGGACAAGAACTGGTGCAGGCGGAGGATTAACCCTGTGCGCCATGGCGCTGGCCCCCAATTTTATTATTATTTTTTATATTTTTTTGACAGGTAGAGTGGACAGTGAGAGAGAGATAGAAAGATCTTCCTTTTTCCGTTGGTTCATTCCCCAATGGCCGCTGCGGCCAGCGTGCTGTGGCCGGCGCACTGCGCTGATCCGAAGCCAGAAGCCAGGTGCTTCTCCTGGTCTCCCATGTGGGTGCAGGGCCCAAGTACTTGGGCCATCCTCCACTGCACTCCCGGGCCACAGCAGAGAGCTGGCCTGGAAGAGGAGCGACCAGGACAGAATCTGGCACCCCAACCAGGACTAGAACCCGGTGTGCTGGCGGAGGATTAGCCTATTGAGCTGCGGCGTAATTTTATTATTTTTTTCTTTTATTTATTTATTTATTTTTTTGACAGGCAGAGTGGACAGCGAGAGAGAGAGACAGAGAGAAAGGTCTTCCTTTGCCGTTGGTTCACCCTCCAATGGCCGCCATGGCCGGAGTGCTGCGGCCGTTGCACCACGCTGATCCGATGGCAGGAGCCAGGTGCTTCTCCTGGTCTCCCATGTGGGTGCAGGGCCCAAGCACTTGGGTCTTCCTCCACTGCACTCCCAGGCCACAGCAGAGAGCTGGCCTGGAAGAGGAGCAACCGAGGCAGAATCTGGCGCCCTGACCGGGATTAGAACCCGGTGTGCCGGTGCCACAAGGCGGAGGATTAGCCTAGTGAGCCGCGGCGCCGGCCAATTTTTTAAAGATTTGTTTTTATTTTATTTGAAAGGCAGAGTGACAGTGAAGGAGAAAGAGGGGGAGATGAAGAAGGGGAGAGCTAGAGCTATAGAGACAGAGAGAGAGAAAGAGAAAAAGAGAGAGAGAGAATCTTCCAACTGCTGGTTCTCTTCCCAAATAGCCACAATGGCCAGGACTGGGCCAATCTGAAGCCAGAAGCCAGGAGCATCATCTGGAGCTCCCATGTGCATGCAGAGGTCCAAAAACGGTGCTCATAGGGGATGCTGGCATTGCAGGCCACTGCACCACAACCCTGGCTCCTTGTTATTATTTATTGTTGTTAATTTCTTAATGGGCCTAATTAATAAATTAAACTTTATCCTAGGTAGGTATATATAGAAAAAAAGTAAATAAAATGGTACATTGAAAAGTTCATGGCAAATTAAGATTTATTTTAGTGCAAAAAAAAATTTGAAACCTATGCTAGTTTTTTTGTAACACAATTTGCCATGAACTTTTTGAAGGCTCCCAATCATATATATGGATTTCAAATATGTTTTTGCACTAAAAGAAGTTTACCCCAAGAGGACAAAAAAAAAAGAAGTTTACCTTTTAATTTAACTTTTCACACACTTTTTGGAGTAACCTTGTAGGGTCCAGGTATTTGTGAGGCCTCTTAGACCACATGCCCCACAGATACGGGGACGTCTATAGCGCTTTCTCCCTGGGGGTTACATGGGAAGCAGTCGGTAAAGCACTTGGTGTTGGGGGCAGAATAATGTCAGCTAATCATCAGCATTCCTTCTGCAAGTAAGGCTACCCTGTGGCCTAGCAGGTCTTCCAGGAAGCCCAAGGCAGGGCACCATTAAACTTGTAAACGCTGTGTTAGAGTCATGCCCATGAAGGCTAAAAGAGAAAGGCAGAAGGAATGGGTGGGAGGTCTGGCAGGCTTCAGTGCAGGACTGATTCCTATGAAGGGAGGGAGGGCAGGAAGCCAGCTCAGGTAGGAGGAGCCTTCGCTGCTGCTTGGCTAAAGACTGCTCATTAAAATTTTATTTATTTGAAAGACAGAGTTACAGAGAGAAGTAGATACACAGAGAGAAAGGTCTTCCATCCACTGGTTCACTCCCCAGACGACTGCAACAGCCAGAGCTGAGCTAATCCAAAGCCAGGAGCCAGGAGCCTCTTCCAGGTCTCCCATGTGGGTGCTGGGGCCCAAGGACATCTTCTACTGCTTTCCCAGGACATAGCAGAGAGCTGGATCGGAAGTGGAGCAGCTGGGACTCGAACTGGCGCCCATATGGGATGCTGGCACTGCGTGCTGGGGCTTTAACCCACTGCACCACAGCGCCAGCCCCAGCAAAGACTGCTGGCTAAGAGGAGCTCCCTGAGGAGCAGACACGTGGGGAGCCTGCTCCAGGCTGGAGTTCTATGCATGATCTTTCGGGCCCCAGCACAGGCAATGACAGCGTGTGCACCTGGCAGATCTGGGTGCAGAGTGCAGACTGGGTACAGAGGTGCGGTCAGGGTCTCCGGCGCTCACTCCCACTCGGGGCTGCCCATGCATTAGGTACATCTGCATTCTTAGCCCAGGCACCTCCAGAGGGTGCCTCCTCTTAGAGGGCAGTGAGGACAGCGCTCCGCCAAGACGCTGTTCATGTGCTTCTGCTAAGACCCCTCACTGGGGGCCTTGAAGGCAGTGTCCTCCACTCGGCCTCTTTTACACCTAGCCCTGCCCTTCTTCACTGCTCTGCCGCCCGGATGAAGCCTTGTGTTTGGGGCTGCCTTGGCAATGAGCTGTCCCCTCCAGTCTGCCCTGAGGCAGCTAACCCATTCCCTGGGGGACAGTGTAGCCCTGGGCAGCCAGCACCCTTTCCTGTTTCACTTCCTGCTCATGCTATCGTATTAAGTGAATATTGGCTGTCACCTGGGTGGTCCGCCCCCGGACAGCTGGCAGCTCTCTGACACAATGTCGAGCTCTGCCTCCCCCTGCTATGCTCACTGGGAGCAGGTGGCCTTGGCGGGAATGGTGTGAGGATGTGAGCCTGGGGGAGGCAGGGGGCATCAGCCAGCAGCCCTCCTTACGCCTGATCCCCTTGAAGGGAGGCCTGAGCGGCGCACCTCCACAGCTCAGCACGACGGTGAGTGCCGGAGGAGCAGCCCAGGTAGAGAGGGAATGTGGAGGAGGGCGAGATCAGGGCAGCGGGCTGTGGACCGAGTTGCCTCGGCGAGGAGCACAGATAGGCTAAGCGCTCGGCCGGTGCAGATGGGGTACAGTGTTCCCCTAGTGAAAGATCAGGAAGTCACTGGGTGAACTGAGAACGGGTTCTATGAATGATGGCTAAAAAAGGAGTTGGGGGGAAGCCAGATGGAGAAGTACATTAAATGCCAGGTTGTGAACGCTGCTTTTGTGGCGCAGTGGGTTAAGCCACCACTTGCAACCATACCTGATCCATTTCAGAACGCCAGTTCAAGTCCTGCCTGCTTGGCTTCTAATCCGGCTTCCTGCTAAGGCACCTAGGGAGGCAGCGGATGATGACCCGAGCATTTGGGCCTCTGCTACTCATGTAGGAAACCAGGGCAGAGTTCCTGGCGCCTGGCTTTCACCTGGCCTAGTTGTGGCCATTGTGTACATTTAGAAAGTGGACCAGTGGCTAGAGATTCTCTCTCTGTTTCTCTCTTCACTCTGCCTTTTAAGTAAATAAATATAATTTTTTTTTAAATGTCAGGTTGTGGACGTGAATCGGCTCTATTTAGCACTTACCCTGAGCCGGGCACTGTTCCTAGCACATTACCCATATACCACATCATTTCGCCTACACACAACCTGTAAGGTAAATGCTGTTATTACCCCCATTCTACAGGTGAAGAAGCTGGCTAACAAGTCAGCTAGAAAATGGCAGAAGCAGAACTTGTACCCAAGCTGCCTGACCGCAAATTCTACAACTCTAAGTACTATGGTCTCCTGCCTCTCGGGTAACTTCCTACTGCTGCTGCTGCAACTCCCCCCCGACTCTCCAATCTACCTGCACACCAACGCATTCCGGGCACTGGTTCCTCAGGTAAGGCCTCTGCCCACCCCTCACAGAGGGTAGGATAATTCTGTTGACCGAGGCCGGATTGAGAGATTGTATTTGGATATTGGTGGACTGTGTGGAGACATAGACCTTACCTGGTAGAACCGTGGGTAAAAACAGAAGATGTCAAATTAATTTTTATACAAATTACTTATCTTATCCTCGTAGCTCAAAGATGCAGGATCTGGATTCAAATCTCCTGGGTTTGATTCTCAGGCCTGCTATTTTCTAGCCTTGGCACACAGCTCCATTTCCTCATTTATCCAACAAGGATGACAGGGGCATCTGCCTCACTGGGTTTCTGGAAGGATCACATGGAAGACTAAAGCCCTCAACCAACCTAGACTTACAGAAGTCGTTCCAGGGCACAGACAGGGGTGCCTTGGGCAAGCTAATAACCTGGCACCAAGCCAGCCAATTATCATCCATATTTGATGCATTTTAGAGGCACAGTTGAAAAGTGGAGGGGGCAGAATGGAGGGGAGCTCTCAGCCTCCTCTCTCTTGAGCCAGACAATTCAACCCCAGCCCCAGACTTGCCCACAAGTTCACACATGCTGGCCTGCACGGAGGGCAATATGGTGACCATCCACTGCCATTTGAACTTGTCCAGTGGGGGTGTCTTGCCCACCCCCAGACACTTTATCTGGCATTCCCAATCATCGTAGGCTCCATCTTCTTCTTGCTACCCTTCCTGAGTGTCCCCCTCTCCCCAGCTGGCCAGGCTGTACCCTGATATGGAGGTCGAGCTGGAGGCACCTCCTGAATCAGAACCATTCCTGACGTTCACACCTGGAAATGTGACTTTCATGCCAGTGATGGACATCCGAGCCTTCGCCCTCCAGCCCAACTCCTCTGACCGCAAGCCACTCTTCCAACTCAGGGCGGTGAGTCAGACCCTGACCAGGGCAGCACAGGGGCGTGCTTGCTGTGCGTGGAAGCCCCTCGCTTGGCTGAGACAGAGACCACACAGCTGAAGGGGTGATAGGTGCTGAAGGCTATTTATTTCCACCAGCTCCCTGAGTCCCTGCCTCCTCCATGCAGGAGACTTGGATTGAGCTCCTGGTTCCTGGCTTTGGCCTACAGGCCCAGCCACTGAGAGCAGCTTCAATGGGCCCCAGCATCCTGCTTGGAATCAGCCAGGCTTGCTGACTATTCCTACACTGGCAGAGCCAATAGAAATATTCATAGTCGTCCACTCCATCTGAGAGGTTCACTATTAAAATTTATTAAAGTTCACGCATAACCCCAATAAAATTGTTACAGATCGAAATCACTAAATTACCTTTCTAAAGAAGGTTTAAAGGAGGTATAAGGATTTGGCAATACTCTCCAAATTGACTTACAGAATCAACCAATCCCTATCAAAGTTCCCACTGGGGCAGGCATTTGGCCATGTCAGAGTGGCCGAGTTCAAGTCCCAGCTCTACTCCTGATTCCAGCTTCTGGCTAAGGCAGCCATGGTACACAGCAGGCGATGGCCCAAGTACTTGAGTCTCCACTATCCACCTGTGTGGGAGACCTGGCTTGTGCTCCTAGCTCCTGGCTTCGGCCCGCAGGTCTTACCACTGCAAGCATTTAGGGAATGAACTAGTAGATAGGAGTACTCTTTCTCTCGCAAATAAAATAAGTTTTTAAAAAGATCTCAGCTGTCTCTTTTGCCAGCTGACAAGCCAATTCTAAAATTCATATGGAAGGAAACTCAAGGGACCCAGAATAGCCAACACAATCTTAAAAAAGAAAAATGAAGCTGGAGGACTTACGCTTCTTTTTTTTTTTTACTTATTTGAAAGACAACTTTAACCCACTGTGCCACAGCGCTGGCCCAGGACTTACACATCTGTATTTCAAAGCTTACTATAATTTATAATGCTGTAGTAATCAAGGATAAACATGAAGAGCAGTGGAATAGGATGAAGGGTCCAGAAATAAACCTTCATATTCTGTAACTCTGACATCACAGGAACACTCATATTTATGGTCAGGGGCTCTATTGCAGCCAATTGCCTGAGATAAAACTATGCCCACCCCCACCCAAGCCATCAAGGGCCAGTTAGAAAGCCCAGACTTCAGGTGATTCTAAGTACAAGAAGGCTGTGATGTGCCTTAGAAATATACTTCAGAGTTACAGTGCTGTTAGCCGTGAGTTCAATGTTAAGGAATCAACCATATGTATTTAATAAGGTGTCTTTAAACAGAAACACATACAAGATGGGGTTATATATTGATTAGTTGACAAAAATCTGACCAGAGGGTTACAGGAACCAAACCTGTTATTTCCGCTAAGAGCAATGATTCGGTATTCACTCACTCCCTATGCATGACAACTTTATGACACCTCACTGCGCCCAGATAACAAGAATTGACTCACTGCGGACTGCAACACCTCCTCTCAAACGCTGATAGGACACCTAGCAGAGAATCAGCTCAGATAGAGAAGAACTTGGCAGCACCGTCACCCCACAGGATCAGATATTTTCAGAACCCTCTACCCACAACAACGGAATGGGCAAGAGCCATTTACAAAGTTCGTGGAAAATGGAATTGAAAAACACAGCCATGTTTCTTTTTTAAATAATATTCATTGTTCCATGAACATTTTAAAGGTTCCACATCTGCATAGATTTAAAATTTTTTGTACCAAAATAAACTTATCTTTTCATTCCATTTTCCACAAACGTAAAAGTACCCCTATATATGCCCACTTTACAAAGTAAATCATATTATCCTGGGCCATAAAACAAAGTTTGACAAATACAAAAATTGAAATCATGCAATGTTGTCTCCGAGTACAATGAAATCAAACTAGAAATCAAGACCAGAAAGACAACGGGAAATCTCCAAAATCATGAACGACATACTTGTATTTCTATGCAATCTGTGGATCACAAAGGAGATCTCGAGAGAAGTTAAAAATACAAGGATTGGGGCCGGCGCCACGGCTCACTAGGCTAATCCTCCGCCTGTGGCGCTGGTACTCCAGGTTCTAGTCCCGGTTGGGGCTCCGGTTCTGTCCCGGTTGCTCCTCTTCCAGTCCAGCTCTCTGCTGTGGCCCGGGAAGGCAGTGGAGGATGGTTCAGGTGCTTGGGCCCTGCACCCGCATGGAAGACCAGGAGAAGCACCTGGCTCCTGGCTTCAGATCGGCGCAGCGCGCCGGCCGTAGTGGCCATTTTGGGGGTGAACCAACGGAGGGAAGACCTCTCTCTCTCTCTCTCTAACTCTGCCTGTCAAAAAAAAAAAAAATACAAGGAATGGAATGAAAATATAACGAATCAAAAGTTTTAAGACACAGATAAAGCAATACTGAGAGGGAAATTTATAGCACTAACTATGGATTAGGAAAAAGTTCTAAAATCAGTCATCTAAACTACCAATTCAAGAAACTATAAAACCCAAATATCCATCAGCTGATGAGTGAACAAACAAAATGGGATATATCCACAGAATAGACTACTGCTTGGCAGATACATACTGCATACTGATACTATGCTTGGAAAATATTACAGTAAGTGGAAGAAAGCAATCACAAAAGGCCCCATACCATATGATTCCATGCATATGAAATATCCATTATAGGCAAATCTACAGACAGGAAGTAGCTTACTGGTTGCGAGAAGCTGGGGGATTGGAGACAGTTGGTCTCAGAAGCTGGTGGATGTACATTTTTCTGGGGAAGACAAAATGTTCTAAGCTGGCCCTGGTGATGATTGCACAATACTCTAGAAACCACTGGATTGTACACTTTACGGAGGCGAATGATAGGTCATGTGAATTACATCTCAATACAGCTGTTTTTAAACAGGTAAAAAATTAAAAGCTCAAAACACCTAGTGGTAATTGGGCATTTGCAGTTAAGATAGGCTAACTACTCTAACAAGTCACCTCCGCATTTTAGCAGTCTAACACAACAGAAGTTTATTTCTCACTCACGTGAAGTCTAAGATGTTTCTGGTTGGCAGGTGGCCTTCCACATGGTCATTTAGGAACCCAAGCACTTTCTGTCTTGTAACTGTCTTGCTCCATTGTCAGTGAATCCTCTTCACAGGGTAGAGAAGAAAATTGGGTGAAACAGTGTTTCAGTGGACCAGGTCTTAGAAACAACACATATCATGTATGCCCATATCCCATTGGCCAGATATAAGTCACATGACCATACCTGACTGCAAAGGAGGCTGGGAAATGTAGTCCAGCTGGGTGCCCAAGTGATAAAGGAAACAGGTCTTGGTGAACACATAGTAGCCTCTGCCAGGGTCCCTTGTTCATCCACCATCAATACTATTTTTTTCATCAATACTTCTTGGTCATTGCTCAGGCCAATATTGATGCTGGCCACACAGCAGAAGCCAGGTGTATCCTTTGGCTAGGACACAGTAATGCTCCTTTTTCCCCGCCACAAGCCTCCAGGACATTAATTAGGTTTCAAACCAGAGCTATTCAGTGCTGCTGCCATGAGCACTCACCCAGGTGTTGCAAGTGCGAGCTTTTCTCCTAGTAAGAAGAAGTGGGCTCAAGCAGAACATAGATGAGGCCCCCAATTCGATCACCCCTGGCAGACCAGTCCTCATCCTTAAAGACAGGGGCCAATTGGCGGTTTCTCTCAATTCCTCCGTGGTCAGGGGCTCTACAAATGCCCCTGGGTAGCCACCTCGAAATCTCAGTCATGTTCACAGTCTGAACATCTCCCTCCCTGTTCGAACGCTCCTTGTTCTCAGCTTGGGCTCACTCCCCCTCCCTGATGCACTGAAACCACAGCTCACCTTTCTATCAGCTGTGGAGCTGCCCCTTTCCCCCACCCTCCATCCATATTCTCAGGCAGCTGCTCTTTGCCCTTCGGTCTCCAATACCCATAGCATCAGGGGTTTCAATGCCTGGAGATTTGTCTCCTGGGTCAGGAGCCAACAGGGTGCCTACATGGGCTTTTGTTTTTCCAGAAAACCAACATTTCTGCCACCATCAATGTGAGCTCGGGTAGGATCTTTGGTTCGGTGGCCTCAGGAAGGTAAGAGACCATGAGTCACAGGGGAGGACTGAGGGTGGAAAGGGGACCTCCCGACAGCGGCCAAAGCATCTGGTCTGATTCACTTACAGGGCTGGGGGTGACCCTGGCCCCAGAGAGCTCCAGCAGATCGGGGTCATCATCTGCTCCAGTACCCTCTGGACAAGGTGACTTGAACATGCCCCGAGGAGAAGGCTGGAAGGGAGGAGGTAGCCTTCGGGGCCCCATCGCTCTGAGCTCCCAACTTCCCCCTCTCAGGAGTCAGCAGAGGAACCAGAAGGTCCACAAAGATGGGGACTTAAGCAGGACTGGCTAGTAGGGGTGGGGGTGGGGGACTTGAAGCTGAACTTGCAAGGACTTCACATGTAAGATGGTGGAAAACTCGACTGTACACATCACAAAGTGGGGGAGGCCGTGGGGTGACAGCGCCCCAAGCCACTCCTTCCTGCCCCACTGCTGACACAACATCAATAAGCAAGTGTGTGTTGAATCAGCGAGCTGCGGGGAGTGTCTGGGTTTTGGGCAGCAGAGACAACAGCACCTCCTGGGGACCGGCATCTGTGCCCCCACCTCACCCACCCGGGATGCGCTCCCCGCTGAGCCATGGATACAGTGCGCTCCTCAGATGAGCTTCCTGGCCTCAGGGCGAAAGGCTAGTGCTGACGGAATGCCCCGGCCCCATTAAAATGGACAGCTCCTTCAAGGGCTCTACAGAGAAGTGGCGGGGAGCATCCGGGCAGCGTGCAGGCTGGGAGGGAACTCACTGGAGGGCCCTGGAGTTGGTATTTCTGCAGAGAGCTCCCAGCTTGGGGAGTGTCAGGAAGGCAGCTGGGGGCAACTGCAAGGACACATCATAATTTCTTTGAGTTAAACAAACATTATTTTCAGCAATGACATATCTTCCATCACAGCCAATGCTAGAAGACTTAAACTCACGAGCCACCCACTACAGAGTACGGCTTGGGTACCTAGCACCAGGCCAAGGGCCTTGCCCACCAGCGCCGCACAGTCCACGGGCTGACAGTGACCTGTGCTTCTCTCTTTGTCCACACAGTAAGCTGAAGCTCGAGCTGAAGCACTCCAGCATCAGTCGCTTCAACGTGAGTCACTTTCTCTCAACATCTCTTGGGTTTCTTCGAGTGGGGTTTTATGGGGTCCCAGGATATATGGCAAGGTCTGGAGACTGCCTGTGGGCTCACAGGAAATGGGTACCCACATCTGAAACTTAGCCATGTGCAAAGGGCGCTATGAAGACTAATGGGTGATAGGACATGGACATTATAGGGCATGTGGAGTAAGATACCTTCTCTGCCACCTGTTGGCTGTGTGACAGTGGGCAAGTCACTTAACCTTTCTATGCCTCAGTTTCTTTTACTGTAAAGTGGGAATAATAATAGCAACTACCAGTTGGCTAGATAAAACACTTTGACAAAATGTCTCACACACAGTAAGCTTGTAATATATGGTCACTATTGGAATGAGAGTGGCCCAAGAGCACAGTCCCTTATCCAAACCCCCGGAGAACTGATGGGTTCAAGAATTGATAATTTTTGAAAGGCAACATACAGTCCAGCCCTTCCAGCAGGACCTGGGGAAGCCCACTGTAATCAAACATGTTAATATTTCAGCAACAACATTTGAAAATAGTCACACAAAGAAACGTTAAATAGGCTCCTGACAGTTCAGGTCATGTTGCACCATGAAATGAACTTGCATGCTTTTACAGAGAAGGTGGGGTTTGGATCCATGAATCAGGGGTTGTTTATCTGTAGTGGTCAACACCTATGTTTTACAGGGGACATTGACAATGTTTCCAGAGGTGGGGGCCTGGTGTTCCTCCTTTGACTCCCATTTGAATTCATGTCTTGTCCCTTTGCTGCATGTCAGGTGGCGTTGATGGAAGCTGTCTTCAACTACTATGCGCTTACGACCATCTTCCCCTCTCTCAATGGTAAGAGTAGCTGCCACCCCGTGAAAAGATGGGGTTGCATCCTTGTTGGAGGATTTAGTGCATCTATCCATTCACCCATTCATTCATTCTGTAAGTGGAGCCTCACTTCTAGGTGCCTGGGGTTCTGATAATCCATGATCCCTGCCTTGTGGAGTTCATGCCTTGTTGGGAAGCCAGACATGTAACAGGCAGTGACAACAGAGTGACAAATGCCACAAGAGGAGGAAGCCCAGGGGGCTGTGTGAGCTTAAAGGAGACTCTAAAGATGGGTTAGAGATCAGGAGGGGATTCCAGGAGATGAGGACAAACTGAGTCTCAACAGACATGGAGTTAGGCCAAGGGAGGAGGACCACTCCAGGCAGCACCGCACAGAACACATGCAGCTGGCACCCTTGGGCCAGGAGAGATGAGTCTGCCGAGTGACCTTCGTGGGGGCTGTGTTGGCAATGGTGGCTGCTTGGGAAGCAGCAGGCCTCCCACCCTCTCCAGAGATAAGAAGAGCAGAACTGCCCTGGAGAAGAGAGAGCAGGCCAGATAGGCGGTGGTACCTGGGGATGCGACCCTGGGTAGAAACACTGCCTGGTGGGTGGCAAGGGAAGCAGGACTCTCGAATGCACTCACAGAGGACCAAGGAGCTGTCCAGGTGGCTCCGCTAAAGAGGCTGCATTTCCCAAGCCAGCCCTGACTGCTGTCGCCAGGGGCTCAACCTCCCCGTCGTCTTTGCCCAGCTCATCTCTCTCTGCTTTTACCTTCCAGCAAAACTTGAGAAGGGCTTCTCGCTCCCTCTTCCAAGAGACACCGCTCTCGGCAGCCTGGAGTTCCAAATTCACAAGGTCAGTGAGAAGTGGGGTCTGAGCGAGGGGCTCTAAGGCCTGTTGGGAAGTTGCTATGGGGGCTGGTGGACACTGGGTGGTGGGGGGAGTGGCTGACTCCCGCCTACAGCATGGGGCGAGTCTTGGCTCCATGTAGAATAGCTCTGTCATCACTAATTCCGTTCAAATACATTTGTTGGGCATCTGTGAAGCACTCGCATTCACAGCAGGAGGAGGGTGTGCAGAGGGCAAGACTAGATGCCCCCTTCTGGAGTGATGAGGCGCCACCTGAACAAGCCTAGAATCTCGGTGGCGGGTCACTGGCCAGCCCTCAGGGGGTGATCTTGGAGAGAAATGGACTGTGCCCTCTTGGTGGAAGGAGCTGAGGCAGGGCCGCGGCAGAGATGGTCGTCACAGACCTCCTGATATAAATCCAGGACTAGTTTGCCAATGTCTTCCCGGTTCATGATGTGCTTGGAGGTAACCCTGCACGACGTCCTCATACGTTAATTGGTGAAGGGAGTAGACTCAGGTGGCACCCAAGTGTGCCTTGTTCTCTGGGAGGAGTAAAATTTGAGAAAGTGCTATGAATGCCTTCCAGAAATCAGGGGCTCGGGAAATGCTGACAAGTTCCTGGGGCCGGCAGCTCTTAGGGACAGTGCCTCCGAGGCCCAACGGCTTCGTTTCTGCTCTGACCTGGGCTTTGGTTCAAGGGAGAACCTGCCTCTCCAGGTCAAGAAATTCCTAACAGGAGGCATCCACGTGGCTCAGCAAATGATCTTTCTTGTCTATCCCTCTTGCCTCCTCTCTAGAACTTCTTGCTTGTAGGAGCCAACATTGATTAGGCTGAAGATGGAGAAGGAGTTCACTGTGGCCAGAGGAGTGGATGATACCATGGCCAGACCTGCCTCTGACCCTGCGGAGGCCCAAGGCTGCGGCCACTCTGCCTCATCTCCCATGGACAGGGTCACCACAGAACTTGTGACATCTGAAGACACACCTGACCACGGGCCACCTTCTGCACCTTTCTCCTCGCTTCTCCTTCCCATGTCCCCACATGTTCTCTTTGTACCTGAGCTCAGCCTGACATGAGACTAGTCTGCCACTAGAATCAACTTCCATAGAGGAAAATGAGTGAGCAGTGGTCAGGCACCACGCAGCCCACAGCATCCTGCTCAACATTAAACATGCAGAACAACCTGGTTGTGTAAGTCATTTGACGGCATGGTCCAGGGAACACGAGCCAGCCAGACCTGGGCTCAAAGGCTCATTCTGCCACTTAGTGAGTGTACAATATCGATGGAGATGGGGAAGACCATCCAGCTTCTAGATGGGGAACACGGGGATTCCAATTTTCTGATGATTTTTCCTGCACTGACTTCTGTCTCTGGGCATTATGCCGAGGAGGGTGCAGGGGGTCAGAGAGTGAATGAGAAAACACATGGACTCTGCTTTCCTCAAGCTTACGGTCAAAACCACAAGCCCTGCTTAACAGAGGCCAGAATCCACCCATCCCTGCCCTCTAGAATGGATCCAGCAGCTTTTTTTTTTTTCTTTTTTTTTCTTTTTTTGAAGATCTGTGTTATTTATTCGAAGGACAGAGTTACAGAGAGAGAAGGAGAGACAGAGAAAGAGATCTTCCATCAGTTGGTTCGCTCTCCAAATGGCTGTAACAGCCAAGTCTGAGCCAGGAACTCCATCTTGGTCTCCCACATGGGTGGCAGGGACCCAAGTACTAGAGCCATCATCTGCTGACTTCCCAGGCACAATAGCAGGGAGCTGGATCAGCTGGGACTCAAACTTGCCCTCCAGTATTTTTTTAATTTCTTTTTAAGATTTATTTATTTATTTGAAAGTCAGAGTTACACAGAGAGAGAAGGAGAGGCAGAGAGAGAGAGAGAGAGGTTTTCCATCCACTGGCTCACTCCTCAACTGGCTGCAACAGCTGGAGATGCACTGATCCAAAGCCAGGAGCCAGAAGCTTCCTCCAGGTCTCCCATGTGGTGCACTCCAGTATTGAAAGCTGGCATTACAAGAAGCAGCTTAACACTGAGCCAAAATGCCAGCCCCAGAGACCTGTTTTTAAGGGATATTGGAGGGTAATAACCACCTGAGGCACCAGCATTCTATATGGGTGCTGGTTCGTCTCGGCTTCTCCACTTCCAATCCAGCTCCCTGCTAATGGCCTGGGAAAGCACTGGGAGATGGCCCAAGTGCTTGGGCCCCCACACTCATGTGGGAGACCAGGAAGAAGCTCCTGGCTCCTCACTTTGGATCAACCCAGCTCCAGCCTTTGCGGCCACTGGGGAGTGAACCAGAGGATGGAAGACCTCTCTCTGTCACTCTTTCAAATAAATTTTTAATAAACAAACAAAAAGAGCTGGGAGAATATAGGTGGTGGCTGGCGGGGAAAAACCCCAGCGGATGAAGAATTTGCTCAGCCAGAGGCGCTGAGTTAACTTCTCTGACCTGACGTGACACCTTCGCACACAGCCCTGTGGTGAGGGTGACAACACAGTCGTTCCTTTCCACAGATGCTCTGAGACCCATCTCTCCCTTTGGTGGAAGGTGTACCCTGGAGCACCTTCTGTTGCTGCCATACGATGCCAATAAACCTGTTGAGCACAGGTTTGCCCTTGGTGGACTTCACCAGATGGACTTTAGATTCCAACAAGACCCTCATTGCCACAGACTTCCACGTTCTCTGCATCTGCATTATTCAACCCAGCAGCCCCAAGACTCAAATTTTACATTTTTACGTAAATAGCCAGACATGGCTTGTGGCTTCCCATAATGGACAGCAGTTTGAAATAAGCTGTGAGGTGCCCTGTTTTGCTGTTACCCCCCAGCACTCCATAAGCATTTGGAGTCTATCTATATATTATCTATCTCTCTATCTATATATATAATCTATATATCTATATATTATCTATATACTTAGCTGGGATCACCTTGAGGGCACAACTATCAAATTCACCACTGTATCTGTACCTAGCATGGCATCTCACTCCTAAGTGACCGCATAAGCTTTTTTTGCAGCAAATGTGCCTAACTGCCCAGCTCTGAGTTCTACAGAAGCTCCCATCAGCTGCTTTGCCGGGTCTATGAGGTTCCCAGCAAGGGTTGTGCCTCCGTGGCCTTAATCCCAGTTCTTGGGTCACTGTGGTCAATGTAATCTCATTTCCACAGACCCTGGAGCCCCACACGGCTCCAGCTGCAGAGAGCAGAGGTGAGAAGCACGCATGATGATGCTATGCCAGTGACTGGCATCTCCATGCAGACTTGGTTCTGGCTTTGTTCTGCTGCTCTGCCTGCCCCAGCAGCAAACACTGCGGATCGGCCTTGGCTTTCAAAGCGGATTTCAATGCAGATTCTCTTGGCATCTTTTCAGGCAGCTATGGCCTGAGAACTCAGAAGATGGTCCTTGAAGAAAAGAGCAAGGCTGAAAAAGGACTTTTGATTTCAGTTAGGAACTGTTGGCAGGGTAGGGCACTTCAGCCACTAGTTATACCTGCCCCAGAGCGAGCATTTGGTCTAGCAGTTAAGACGCCAGCATCCTACGTCGGGCATTAGGTCCAATTCTTAACTCTGGTTCCTGACTCAATTCCTGCCAATGCAGACCCTGGGAGGCAGCAGTTGATGGCACAAGTAACTGGGTTCCTGCCAACTACCAGGGAGACCTGGACTGTGTTCCCAGCTCCCTGCTTTGGCTGGGACACTGCAGGCATTTTGGAGTAAACTAGTGGATGGGAATACTTTCTTGGTCTTTGCCTTCCACATATAATTTTTAAAATGTCTTTGAGGGGCCGGCGCTGTGGCGCAGCAAGTTAACGCCCTGGCCTGAAGCGCCAGCATCCCATATGGGCACCGCTTCATGTTCCGGCTGTTCCACTTCCCATCCAGCTCTTTGCTATGACATGGGAGAGCAGAAGATGGCCCAAGTCCTTGTGCCCCTGCACCCATGTGGTAGACTGGGAAGAAGCTCCTGGCTTCAGATCAGCGCAGCTCCAGCCGTTGCAGCCATCTGGGGAGTGAACCAGCAGATGGAAGACCCCTCTCTCTCTGTAACTCTGATTTACAAATAAATAAATCTTAAAAAAAAAAAAAAAAGGCTTTTGAAAAGCGTAGGACTCCCTTACTGGAGTGCCAGTTTCAGCCCTAACTGCTCTGCTTCCGATCCAGCTCTGGGCTGATGTGCCTGGGAAGGTAGCCGATAATGGCCCAAGTGCTTGGGTCTCTGCCACCTATGAGAAACCTGATGGAGTTCCTGGCTCCCGGCCTTGGCTTGGCACAGTCCTGGCTGTTATGGCACTTGGGGAGTGAGTTAGCAATGACAGCTCTCTCTGATGCTCTTTCAAATAAACAGATTTTAAAAGTTAAAAAAAAAAAGTGTGGGCCTCACTAAGGCAGGTCAGCTTGAATTCTGCAACACGCCCAGCCAAGGTAATTCCAAGTTCAAATGCAGAGATGAGGCAGTTAACTCCAGCACAGCCTTTGGGACTTACTTCCTCTGCAGGTCACCATCTCTTGACTGTAGCCACTGACTACACCATCTGCAGAGCCTGGCCCTGAGGACACCTCAGCTGCCCCATATGGTCACCCCAGTCCCATCAGACTGACACCACATAGCTTACCCCAAGATAGTCTGACCAACCTGACCCAGCTTTTCCAGAACTCTCCTAAATTTAGCAATGTTAGTTTCACTTCCTGGAAAAACCCTTTCAGGCCTAGGCAAACCGAACAGTTGATCACAAAGCAGGGAATTCCTGATGAGCCAGGTTCTTGAACTCCAGGGTACTCAGCCTGCTCTAGCGACATCAGCCCTGCCTCCCTCCACAGCCCACACTGACACCAGCCATCATCCCAACCCTGGCCTGACTCTTCTGCAAAGCTGGCAACCTTCAAAGGTCGTAAACATGAGTCAACTGCCAGTACCTAACTGTACACCTCAATCAACAGCCCATTTCCCCTGCCAAGCCTGAGTGCTGTAGAATAGGAAAGGCTTAGCCAGCGCCGTGGCTCACTAGGATAATCCTCCGCCTTGCGGCGCCAGCACACCATGTTCTAGTCCCGGTTGGGGCACCGGATTCTGTCCTGGTTGCCCCTCTTCCAGGCCAGCTCTCTGCTGTGGCCAGGGAGTGCAGTGGAGGATGGCCCAAGTGCTTGGGCCCTGCACCCCATGGGAGACCGGGAGAAGCACCTGGCTCCTGCCATTGGATCAGTGTAGTGCACCGGCCGCAACACTCTGGCCGTGGCGGCCACTGGAGGGTGAACCAACGGCAAAGGAAGACCTTTCTCTCTGTCTCTCTCTCTCTCACACTGTCCACTCTGCCTGTAAAAAAAAAAAAAAAAAAAAAAAAAAAAAAAAAAGGAAAGGCTTGAGGAATGAACACAAAATCATTGTTGAGGCTGGTGCTGTGGTGCAGCGGGTTAAAGCCCTGGCCTGAGTGCCGGCATGCATTATGGGCACCAGTTGAGTCCCGGCTGCTCCACTTCCAATCCAGCTCTCTGGTATGGCCTGGGAAAGCAGTAGAGGGTGGCCCAGGTCCTTGGGCCCCTGCACCCATCTGGGAGACCCAGAGGAAGCTCCTGGCTTTGGATCAGCGCAGCTCTACCCGTTGTGGCCATCTCAGGGGTGAACCAGCGGATGGAAGACCTCTCTGTAACTTTGTCTTTAAAATAAATAAATCAGACCGGCACTGCGGCTCACTAGGCTAATCCTCCGCCTGCACTCCAAGTTCTATTCCCGGTTGGGGCACCGGTTCTGTCCCGGTTGCTCCTCTTCCAAACCAGCTCTCTGCTGTGGCCCAGGGAAGGCAGTGGAGGATGGCCCAAATGCTTGGGCCCTGCACCCTCATGGAAGACCAGGAGGAAGCACCTGGCTCCTGGCTTCAGATTGGCGCAGGTGCCGGCCTTGGCGGCCATTTGGGGGGTGAACCAACAGAAGGAAGAGCTTTCTCTCTGTCTCTCTCTAACTCTGCCTGTCCAAAAAAATAAATAAATAAAATAAATCTTTAAAAGATCCTTCCTCAGGGGAGAGGGAGTGGGAAAGGGGAGGGTTGTTGGTGGGAGGGACGGTATGGGGGGGGAAGCCATTGTAACCCATGAGTCGTACTTTGGAAATTTATATTCATTAAATAAAAGATAAAAAAAAAAAAAAAAAAAAAAAAAAAAGATCCTTCCTCCATGCCCAGCCCTGCTGCTCCATGGGTTGCTACTGACTTAAGTTTGAGCACAGCTGCTCCATTTTCAATCTGACTCCCTGCTAATGAGCCTGGCAAAGCAGCAGATACCCAAGTCCCTGGGCCCTTGCAGCCACATGGGACCCCCAGATGAAGCTCCTGGTGTCTGGCTTTGGCCTGGCATAGTCCTAGCTGTTGTGGTCATATGGGGAGTGCAACAGTAGATGGAAGCTCTCTATCGCTCCCTCTCCCTCTGTAACTCTATTTTTCAAATAAATAAATCTAAAAAACAAAAGGCAGGCAAAGTTAGTCCATAAGGTTTATTGATGGGATTCCAAGAGAGAAACTTGGCTATTAAGGTCAAAGCCAGAGCCAGCCAAGTCTCCCACGTCTGCACGGGATTCTTGTGCAGAGCTGTTCCAGGTGCTCTGAGCCAGCCCAGGAAGCAATGCCGGTGATACTTCACGTGGTGACCTCGAATCCATTCTGTCCCTCTGCTGTCCATAAACACCACCGAGTGACCTAAAATAAAAGGACAAAGGACCAATGACTTGGTGTTTCTGCCTGCATAAATGTGAACCAGCTTAGCTCTCTGGCTCTGGGCTCTAGTCCTTAGCACTCACTCACCACGGGGTACCCGGGGAGTCACCGACTCCTCGGCCATCCGGCTCGAAGGCTGAGACCTAGGAGGGCGAGGAAGCACACAGATCTTTCTCTGCCAGCACCAATCCTCCCCCGCTGACATTACTGGGAGGATCCCAACCAACTGGGCCCAAGCTCGGAGCCGATACACAAACCCAAGAGCACTCCAGTTGCTGGCAGACTAAAGATATATTTCTCAAGGTTCAGAGTTGACAGAACTCCTCTGCCCTGACAGTTGGCTACATCTGGTTTTTGTTTCCCCAAGTATTCAACATTAGAAAAGCAATGCATGCTTGTGCACTCAGGAAAAGAGTAAAGAAGCAAAGACAACACACAAACAAGCATTTCCGTCACGGGCTGTCTTCACATTGGTTATCAGGCTCCTCTCACAAAGCAAAGCCCTTGACCTACAATCCTCAGCTGTGCCCTCGTCATTCCATTTCAAACCCAGACGCTGTAAAAGAGCACTTTACTTAGAGCTGGAAATCATAATTTGTGGTGATATGGATGCAGCTGGCCCTGACAGCAAGCACTCTGAAGAAACTCAGATCAGGCATGAGTCAAAGGAAGGAGGCTGAGGACAGAGGAGATTCCACGAGTGATGCAGGAAGGTGCAGAGAAGCAATCCCTCGGCTGTGCATCTCCAGGGCACAGGGCACACGTGACTGACTGCAGAGGTTAATGGCGTTTGCAGGCTTGGCCTAGGCAGCAGCCTAATGTGTGCTAAGCCTGGGAATAACCTCCCCACTCCACCGTAACATGCAATAAAAAGGCAGGGTTGGAGAGAGGAGCACAGACAGAGAGAAAGAGAAAGGATCTATCTTCCATCAGCTGGTTCACTCCCCAAATGGCCGCAATGGCCGGGGCTGAACCAGGCCAAAACCAGGAGCCCGGAGCTTCTTCTGGGTCTCCCACATGGGTGCAGGGGTCCAAGCATTTGGACCATCTCCCACTGCTTTCCCAGGTGCATTAGCATAGAGCTGGACTGGAAGTGGAGCGGCAGGAACTTGAATCGGCACTCATATGGGATGCTGGTGCTGCAGGCTGTGGCTTTAACCCACTGAACTACAGCACTGGCCCCTGAAATGCTCTCTTGAACATTATTTTCTGGATCTCCCAGCCTTCAGTGCTACTTGCATTTATTCCAGTGTGGAGTGCAACTGAAAATGCACAGCCCAGTTCTGGCACGAGGCTCCTTCACTTGAAGACAAAATGAAGCCCCCACAAACTGGGGAGCTGGTCCGGTCATCCCATCACACGGGGCCCGCAAAGGCCTGGCAGAACGGCTGCCGTGTGGGAAGCTCCAGGGTTTGGAGGGGATGGCGTAGCCCCCCCAAACACGGGGAAGTGTCTTTCACATTCCTTTCCCTGCACTACCAATGGTCAAGGCACAGGCAGCCCATGATCACTTTCGGATGCAGGAGCAGAAAAGGACAGACAGCTAGCTCGCCAGGAAAGGAGGCTAGAGCCGGAGACCTGGGCAATAGCCTGAATCAGCGAGAGCAGCCCAGCTGAACACAGCCCTAGCAGCTGCCACCGTGTCCTGGAGGAGTCAAGACACTTCCAGCAGACACAAGAAATTAGCAGTGTCAGGGTACGAAGGCCAAGAGGAGGTCACAGAGCCAGAAAGACCCAAAGGTGGACGCAGAGTTCCTGGTGCCTGAATCCACACTTCCTGTCCCAGCACAACACTGGCGTGCCAGGGCCCAGGAACTGCCACACGGAGCTCTCTGCACAACAAATTCCTGCAAGTCCCTGCTCAGCAGCAGCTGCTGAAGGCAGGTGAGGGACCGGCCCAGAGACCTCCGGGGCTGCCACTTCCCCCTCGCTTCCCTGCTCGTCGTTGTCCCAGAACACGCACAGGACTTCATGAGACGCACGAGAAAACATCCAGAGAACCACCCAGGACTCTTACCTCAGGGGCTCTGGTCCAGCTCCTGCTGCAGTGAGGCAGACGCGTGCCCCGAGGCCTCCGCACAACAGACCACCTGCAACCGACACACAGAACACTTGGCAGTGGCTGGCAGCGCAGACCCAAATGCTGGCCATTACTCATGGCATTTAGTGGCTCTACTGTCTCAGCAACAAGAAAGCGCTACCTCGAAGAAAGGGCCCAGACCCTCCGTGACAGGTAACACCCATGTCCTCCCACGTGCCAGCTGCGCCAGCCTCACTACTCACATTTCTCGTAAAAGCCTGCCAAGACCCACCCCTTTCCTGGGCAAATAACCCAAGGTGAAAGAAATCACCACCCCGGAGAGCCACCTGCACCCCAGTCACCGCGGCACAAGGCCCAACAGCCAAGATACTGGAACGGCACAAGTGTTTGCCGACACTCAGTGCACACAGACACACACAGGAATATTATTCAGCCTTTAAAAAGGAGTTCCTGCCATTTCCCACAATGTGAATGCACCAGAAGACACTATGTTGAGTGAAGTCAGACTCACAAAGAACAATTTTGCAGATCTCACTTGTATGTGGAATTACATGGATTTTTTTTTGAATTTTCAGCATCAGCAAGAATAAAGCAGTGGTTACTATGGGGATAAAGAGAAAAGGAAGTGGGGAGAGGAAATCCAAGGACAGGAAGTGGCTGACAGGGCTAACATACAATAAGGGCGCTCTGGGAAAACCAGACTCGGGATTTTGTTACAGACATCTGTTTGAGCTGCTCGTGTCTCCCACACACAAGAGAAACATGTGAGAGGATGTTACTCCACTCCACTCTAGCAGCCATTTTACTATCCATATGTATCCCATGTAACATCACGCTGTCAACCTCCAACAATATATACTCAGAAATGACTGCTGAGGCCAGGAAGTCTGGGGAGAGCCGTGTGTGGGTGCAACCAGTGTGGCCTGGGTGGGCACTGGGTGGTGGCGGGTCCCACTCCCACCATCTAGTGTGGAAGGGCGACATCCACATACCCAATCCTACTGTGCTGTACTTTGCCCGCCCCAGTGATTACACTAGTTCCGGCCCCCTTAACCTAGGCCTGAGAACTACCCCTAGCCAGAGGAGCGAGTCTCTCTCATGGCCACAGCTAAAAGTCAACTACAATAAGCCTGGTCCCCCAGAGAAATCGGAGAGGGAAAGGAAGCAAATGCCTCAGGCCTGATGGCTGGCTTGCTCTAAGCGACAAGCCCTACCGCCTCCCAGTGAGACGTCTGCTCATTTTCTTTTGGCCCAGGTGCTACAGGTCAGGCACAAGGGATGCTGTGAAGCAAGGCAGAGGTGCTGCCCTCAGACAGCTCCCAGCACAGGGCCACGCCGAGCAGCCACTCCCACCAGGTGAGACCAGGCTGAGAACGTGGAGAAGAGAGTGACAGGGAAGCAGACAGCTTCCAGCAGGAAGCCCTGGGAGGAGGATCCCCAAGGTGGCTCCCAGTCAAGGGTAGTGACAGGGACCCTGAGGCAGGCCTCGCAGCCACCCGGGCAGAAGCAGCACTCAATACTCAACAAGCCGGGCAGAACGGAGCACCAGGGTCACAAAGCCAGAAGTGTGCGACAGCTCCAGGGTTCGGCAGGGACAGCACGGACCCTCCAAACACGGGGAAGCGCTTTCAGCAGCTGCTCTCCCTGCACTATCAATGACCAGGGCACGGGCAGCCCACGATCACTTTCGAATACAGGGGTAGAAAAAGCCAAAGGGGGAGCCAAGGAGGGCCACAGAAGCAGCCTGTGAACCACGCAGAGCTCATGCACCACTCCCCGTTAGAAGGGGAAGGCAAGCCAGGTTTATAGCAGGGAGCTGTACTGCAAGTGGAGCAGCTGGGATTCAGGCCAAGCTGTTGCCGTAGTGGTGGCTTAGCCCACTGCACCACAGTGCCAGCTCACGGGTGCTCGCTCTTTCTGCAGTTGTCCACCAGGTTCACCAGCAAAAAGACAGCACCTGTGAGCTGGCAGGCTGGCATGCCACATTGGAACACAAGTTCCACAAGTTCAAGTCCTGGCCGCTCCACTTCTGGTCCAGCTCCCTGCTATGGCACCTGGGAAGGCAGCCCAGGACTGCACCCCCCTCCACGTACCCACTGACCTTACAGCTGCGCCTCTGTTCTTTCTAGCTTCTGCTTTCACTCCTGCTTTAAGTGCTGCACACTGCCGTCTGCCAGAAGTAAGCTAGACACCACCTTCAAGGTGCTGTAGAGAAAAACAAACCCAACAATTGCCAAAGTGAATGACCAGTACCCAGAAGGGAACCAAAACACAAGGCCCCAGCTGGGGCTCTGCTACCAACTCACACATTCCCTGAAACAGGGACCCAGAAACACCCTCCTCACACAGGCCCAGCAGGGAGCCGCGCACAGGGCGCACTCACAGGCCAGCCGCCAGCTGCCAGGAGGTATCCAGAAGGTGCCGAGAGGGCAGAGGTGTGCGAACGCTCCAGGGTTCGGCAGGGACGGCGCGGACCCTCCAAACACGGGGAAGTGCTTTCAGCAGCTGCTCTCCCTGCACTATCAATGACCAGGGCACGGGCAGCCCACGATCACTTTCGAATACAGGGCAGAAAAGGACCGAAGAACAGAGGCCAGGCTCAGCTGAGTGTCCAAGCACAAGCCCAGGGCCCTGAGTGCTATACAGGCCTCACTTCCCATCCACGTCCCATCCACTCCACCTGGGATGCCCACGTACCACATCAGAGTGCCCGGTTCTGGTCCAGCTTCCCCTGAAGGTGCATCCTGGCAGGCAGCAGGTGACGGCTCTAGTAGTTGGGGTCCTGCCACCCACGTGGGAGAACTGGATTGGGTGCCCAGCTCCTGGCTTCAGCTTGGTCCAGTCCTGGCCATTGCAGGAATATGGGGAGTGAACTGGCAGATAGACCTCTGTCCACCTGTCTCTTTCAAATAAAGAAGTAATTATTTAAAAAAAAAATTAAAAAAACAAAACCTTACATTCCATTTGTCATCTGTGCGCATGGGGTCCACTGGCCTCTGTTAATAAAATTCTGATAAACACGCTTGGATCAGTCATTCATCTCACAAACACTGGGTATATCCATGCAACTAGCACCCTGGGATCAAAAACAAGGAACCCCATCCAGGTCCTGCCCTCATACTGCAGGCTCCCCACTCTACAGAAATGGCGAAGCTCAAGAGAACCGGAGAACCCAGCCAGGACCTGACCTCAGCTCCTTGTGGGCCCCAATCCCAGCCCCCCACCTGCTCCTCCAGGCCTCAGACTTCACAAGACCCCTCCCAATCCCTGGCTGTCTTGGAGGTGCTCATGAGCAGCAGCACGTACCTGGGTCATCCTCAGCCCTGGACGGCCAGAGCCCATCAGGGAGTGCGCATGGGGACTCTGCAGGGGCGAAGGGGGCCCTGCCTGGTGCAGAACCAGCAAAGCCATCCGAGAGAGAATCTGCATCTGCGCCCAGGAGGGCTGTAGCACCTAGGCAAAGAGAAGTATGGGGAAGGGGCTTCAGTGAAAGCAAGCAACAGGAGTCCAGACCCAACCCAGGCCTTCTGAGTCTCTAGGCAACCAGCTTGCACAGTGGAGATTGTCACATTTGCTTTTCCTAAAGACTACGGAAAGGAAAACCAATGACAGTCCTATAGACTGGACACAGCACCTGACACTTTGTAGACAACTGACAGTTTTGGGGGCTGCCAATGCAGGGAGCAGGGGCCAGTGCTGTGGCATAGTGGGTAAAGCTGCTGCATGGCACGTCAGCATCCCATCTAGGTGCCAGTTTGAGACCTGGATGCTCCACCACTAATGCACCTGGGAAAACAGCAGAGGACAGCCTCTGCATTCACGTGGGAGACCTGGGAGAAGCTCCTGTTTGGCCTAGCTGCAGCCACTGCTGCCATTTAGGGAGTGATGGAACAAAGACATAAGCCTCGGCCATTCTTGCTCACTGCCCAAAAGATAAACATTGGAATGTAATTCCTTGCCCTTGATTTCAATTGGGTCTCACTCTACCGCCTCATACCCCACTCTGCATCCTCTTCCAGGTTCCCAAGGCCCCGCCCAGTTCCAGGAATTCCCCTCTGCCTGCTGCTTCCTACCCCCACCCCCACCCCCCCTAAAAGTATAAAAAGGTCTGGCCTAAAAAGCCCCAGCCTCTGGGGGGTCCAGGCCTTCTGCCATGTGTTCCGTCAATGTGCACGCCAGCAGCTGGGCTGGCTGTAAATCCATACACTGCCTCCTCTCTGTTCTGCGCCTCTTTTCCTAACAGGAGTGAACCAATGGGTGGACGATCTTTCTGTGTCTCCCTCAAGGAAAGGAAAGGGAGAAGGGAGGGAGGGAGAGACTGACAGAAACAGAGAAGAAGAAAAGAGAAGAAAAGCCAAGCCAGGGAGCAGAGGCCAGGGTCAAGCAGGGGTCACATAGTTTTGGGTCCTTATCTTTATAGCTGCACCTGGAGCTCACTGAAGGACCCCAAAAGTGGTGCCCTTTTGTGACAACCCCAGAAACACAGACTCCAGACCAGGCGATGCAAAAAGCAAGAGGCAGTTTTATTTCATTTGCGCAAATGGGCCCTCTGCTGCCGCATGCAGCGGGAAAGAGAGGAGCCCCGAGCGGTTATCTCACACAGCTTTTAAGGGGCAAAACCACAAGATTAACATACCATAGGGTGGCGTAAGTTCATTGGATAATTTTCAGCAATTGACCTAATATGGCAGTATGGAAGCGGTAGGGAGGTATAGTCAGTGGAAATGTACTAGGTCAAAAGGGTATGGGGGGGGGGGTCGTTTGAAGAAGAGAAGCGGGCTGCTACGTGCCTTGTGGTTTTCTTTGTTAAGTTTGAGCAGGCACAGGGGAGGGGGGGCCCATGTACATAACAGGATGTTCTGTTGCCCATACCTCCAAGTAATATCTAACTGCTCCTCCGAGAACCAGTTTACTTTCCTATTTCCTGGGACCAGCACTATCTAGGGGAAAGGCTTTACTTAATGTGACCAGGTTACTTAACTACTTGTCCTAACAACCTAATATAACATATT